GGGCTTTAAAATTTGAGAGAAACCTACTGATATTTGTGTGTTCCAAATTCCTGACACATTTATGTGAAAAAAAAAATGGCTCACTTTTTTATTTTCCTGAAATTACTGATATATTCAAAATTTGTTTTACAGCTTAGTGAAATAAGTGGCATACCCTTGGCAAACATAGAATTTGCAAAGGTAAGTAGATTTATCTGAATTGCATGCAATAACTTGGAGTCCATTTATGGTTAAGCTGTAAGAGCAATTTATTCACTCAAAATTGTTTCTTTTCAGGGTAGAGGAACATTTCCTTGTGACATTTCAGTACTAGAGATCCACCAGGACCTGGACTGGAATCCTAAAGTATCTACACTGAATGTCTGGCCTCTCTACATTTGTGATGATGGCGCAGTAATATTTTATAGGTATGTGCTTTACTGTAGTGTAATCCTCCAAATACTCAACATATGAAATAAGGATTGGGAGGTGGTAGAGCAAAAACAAACACCCGAAAATCAAGGTGACAGGTCTGTCACCATACTCTTTATATAGCCAGCCATCAGATACTTGAAGATTTGTTATTAATTCAATGCTCAGTCTCCTCTTCTCCAAACTAAATAATCCCAGTTCTTCCAACCTAGGTGTAAAGAAGGTGAAGTGTAGCATACTGGACCTGAGAAGAGGCCTGGTGGGATTTATGGCCCAGTGGAGTGGTTGGCACAGTTATCAGCTGCTGTTGTGCAAAGTAAAGAGCAGGGAAGAGCAGTAGAGCTGTTTGGGAAGTAGCTGTGTTGCTAGGCAGGGGTGAAGGTGAGGTTGGAGCAAAAAGGAGTTGAGGTCTGTGGCTAGAGTATGAAGACGATCAAAAAAATGGACTTAGCATTAATGTCAGCTGTCTGGGACACTGTTGTCCAGTTGTTGACACAGCTCCCTGCTGAAATTAAAAGGTTCCTATAAATAAATATATAAGCTCTTTTCCCTTTTGACAGCTGTACATTTCTTGCTTTGAAACCTAGATATCCCTTGGTAAAATCTATTCCCGCTTTCCCTTTTCATTTGTTATTTTGATATTTCCTGCTGTCGATAGTTTAGCAAAAGTTGCAAAAATCTAGTCACTATTACTGTGGTTCAGTTTCTTGTTTTCTTATACATTACTGTCTACTTTTTACATGTGATACTGAATATATTAGGATAAGTCTCTGAAACTGCAACAAAATAGATTTAAGATGGCGAAGAGGATTAAAGAATTTAGAGGAAAAAACTGACATTTGTATTGAACTTTTAGTTCATTTGTGTTTGTTTACCCTGGTGTCACTTTACAGAAAGCTGGCAGTCTCTCTCTTGTTATGGATGAGAGACCTTACTTGAAACTTTATAACATCTGAATAATGTGTAATATTTTTTTAAGGGATAAAACTGAAGAATTAATGGAATTGACAGATGAGCAGAGAAATGAACTAATGAAAAAAGAAAGCAGCAGACTCCAGAAAACTGGACACCGTGTAACCTACTCCCCTCGTAAAGAAAAAGCACTAAAAATTTATCTGGATGGAGCACCAAATAAAGATTTGACTCAAGACTGACATTTGCTATAGAGCATGTTCCCCGGGGAATTTTTTTTTGTTTTAAATAAAAAAAGGTTCACTACTACTGTGTAGTGCCATTATGGCAGGACACTCATTAGGTGTAAAACAATGACACCAGCACTGATTGGGCTGCGGTTTACCAATCAGAAGCTCAGTGCCCAGTTGGGTCACTGTTTGACTTGGAATCATGTTGTGCACTATAGTCAAATGTACTGTAAAGCTAAAAGGGATGTGCAAATAAAAGAACAGAAAATCATAGGGCGGGGGAGGGAAATAAGTGGAAATTATTACGGACTGTGCACATAGTAGCTAGTAAAACTAGCCTCCAACAGGATACTCATAGCTTAATAATAAAAGCTGTGCAAAGGCCATGAATGGATTCTTTTTCTGTTTGTTTCACTGATACACGCATTACCTCATTGAAGATTCGGAAGCAAATGTAACACACTGGCTCTTAGAAAACAATAAAAATGCGGTCCGGATGTCATGGAATTCTCAGAACCCAGCTCTAAAAGTGTATGGTTTTAGAAGAATCCTTAGAATATTCTTCCACGAGAGAGAGATCTTTAGAAAGTTACTAGCCGGTGTTGGCTCATTCTGCTGAAGTATTGTAAGGTAACTGTGTTTTAATAGGTTATGGAAGCTGAAGAGCAATTTTATTATATTGCATTTAATGTGTAAATTAAATCTACCCTATCCAGTTAATGGAACTGCAGTTCAGCTATTTACTGTGGTATTTCTTTTCACATATCAACATCCATTGTGTACATTTGAAAGTATAGCTGCCTATTTAAATTTGTATTAATTTTATGTTTGGCAATGCTGGGTACTTTAGGGTTGTATTTCCCCTTGTTAATGAGTTTTTTGTTCAGCTACTTATTTTTGTACATCTTGTTTTTGAAGACTTCATTATAAGTTTGCATCTTCTAGTCCCACTGCAAGCCACACTTTAATTTTTCCTGGAGTTGTTTCATAGTTGTATGTAGTTTAAACATATTTGGGCAACCTCTAACCTCACAGTATAAACTTGCTGGTAGTTCAGATTGTGGTGCAAAGGCTGTGATACAGTCGACATGATTTCATTGCAAAGCTGAGGAACAGCAAGTTTTTGCTTTGCTACATAAAGATCAGTTGAGAACAATTCTACGTAGTTTTTGGAAATACCATCGAATTTATAACAATCAAAAAGTTTTGGTAAATTTTTTCATGCCAGATGCTGTTTACAACAATGAACATGCCAATAAAACATTTGTTCATTCGGTTGTGTTATTTTAATCATTAATCTTCTGTGGATTTTTTTTCATTTTAAAAAAAAAAAAAAAAAAGTTGTTTCATGTAAATATAGACTTCCTGGAGGCAGTCTTTCTGAGTTTCAAGATGTTATATATACATACATCGTAGTGAGGAAGATGCTTTCTAGAGCGCATGCTCATCTAACTTGTTTATATACACAATGGATAATTAGTTTCCTTTTTAGGAATGTAAAATGTTAGGCTGTGACTGAATACTATAGACAGCTCAAGCTTGGCACTATAGGTAGAAAGGAATATCCACATTCCAGTGACAAGTTTGCTCTTCCCAAAATATCTGAAATAGGAAGTGCCTAGTTCCCAGATCTGTCACTAAGCAGACAGAAAATCTGAAGAACTGCAGCAGCTTGAGAATCCAGCCTGCATGAGGTGGAGTCTCAGTAATGGCTCTCAACAATCCTCAACCTTTATAGATATTGACCATGCAGAACTTAGATTTAAGACACTTGTAATATTGGTATTTAGTGCAAGGAATAAAGTAGATGTTGTTTTCCTAATTGGGTCCATTTTCCTAAAGTATACCTTAATCATTCTTTTTAGCTAGTGTCTTCTCTGTTCCATCTTCCAGGTTTTGAGGCATCAGGAAAAATTACTTGAAAAACATTCTTTAATGCAACTAAGGAAGAAGTCTCTATGGACTGTGTAGTAAGGCTTTGCTGCCCAAGAGTAGAGATTTTTAATAGACTGTTTTACTGAAGTAGAGTTAGCAACAGACTCACCATGAAAACAAAATAGAGAAGTAAAGTCTGGTTCAATGTGTGGCTTGTGAACAGTGATAGGGATAGGTCTGTTTCTGAGAGGAAACTGTGCTACTCAAAACAACCTCAAAACTATTCACTCATCTCTGAGATTTTGTTGGGCATACGTGTGTAAGTTATTTAGCAGCAAGATAAGGGAAGCGATTGGGAATTCTAGGGTGTTAATCAAGGTAACCATACAAAAGTGCAGAAGTAATGGTGGAATGGGGTTTTGTTTTCTTTTTCCTGAAGCTGTTCCTAATTAGTATCTGTATTAATCTTGGCAACTGTAAGAAAATGTAGTTGAAACCATTGCTCAGGTCAAAAGGAGGTAAAAACTGCAGGAGGCTACAAGGGGTTTTGAATGACCATTCTGATCCTCATCCATCCATCGGGTTTGGGATTTGTTGTGCAGTAGTCCAGTGTCAAACTTGTCGGTTGAGATGCATAAATGAAAGCTTGTTGGAAAGACGTAAATTGACTCCGGTGCTTGTCACAACTTCGTCTAATTGTGGGTGGTAATTTCTTTGCCCCTCACCCCAGAATCACTCTAGTAGCAGAAGAGCTAAAGGTATGTAGAAACTTGCCTGGTTACTGGCAAGTCAGAATACGTCTTCCTTGTGATCTTTGGTCCAGTGGACCAGACAGTAGACGGGCCTAGATTCTCTTTGCACCTTGCCACCCACTAGCTTGTTTAAGGAAGTCATTTTCTGTACACAAGTTCCCATCTGTAAAAGGGAGAGGATGATACCCACCTAATATCTAAGTGTGTTGAGATTTGTATGGATGAAAAACACTACAAGAGCAGGCAATATTCCCTGACACAGGTTTGGCTAGAAGTGGCTAGAACTCAGATCCTTTAAAGGGTACTGCAGGGTGCTGCCCAGTATTAATATCATTAGGTGTGCAAATGCCTACATGTGACTTGCCAACTCGAGATGTCAAATAGGAAGCCACAGTGTTAAAACATTCCAACCTGCTGGAGGCTTTCTGAGTTGTTTGCTGCAGAAGAATTTCTCTAGTGTTTGTCTGCACTTTTAAAAAAAGTGACAGCTAAGAGCTGGCTTTTTCTGAGGGGAGCTTTGAGTCTAAGGTTGAAGCCTAGAGCCACACCTCTCTGCAGGTCAGCTGTAATACTTCATGCAGATTCCAAGTGCAGTTCTCTATAACATGAACCAGTCAGCTCCCACGTTCATTATTCCTTTACGTGAGATGGTTCTCAAGAAGGCAAGGTGAAAATGTGTTAAGTTAGGATTCAAACTTGAACTTGGACTGTCACTTGCTGTTGCATTCCACAACTGAGTTGTTTGAACTAAATAGTAAATGCGTGGTCTTCAAGAAAGCCCTTCCCACCCTCACAGCTATAAACAACCAAACAGAAGCTGTTTTTATTGCAACTTGACTGTGATTATATTATTAAATGAAACACACTGTACATGGCTGAAAACCAAATGCCCAAAAAACAACAGACTGATAACAGATTCTTGTTCACCTCAGAATAATAAAACTATTCCAAACATGTACAGAAAAAAAACCAGACAAAACTCTCACTTCAGGGTCACCAATAATTTAAATTATATTATGCAAGGAAATCACTGTTATGCTCCCTTCTCTGTACTGAGTATGAAAACTGATACATTTATTTTGGCATACTTAGGAAAAGTAATCCAAATAATGTTGGTATGTGCCCAACACTTATCACAAAATTTGGTCCAAAGGTGTGATTGAATTCAACAAAAATCTGAATATGCAACATTGGGGGACTGAACATGAAGATACCCCTTTAAAATCTATTGCACTTCTATCCAGCAGTGTGCGTGCACATGTTCAGAGCTTGTACAAGCAAGACTCTAAACAAAATTAGGTTCTAGAACTCAGAGTGACAGATCTGCTTTGTTTTGATCATTTTAGATCTCATCCCCCAAAAGCAAGTTATGAGCCAAGTCTGGCTCCTTTATGTCTGTCTGTTCAGAAATATTTTCTTCCAGGCTTTCTAATTCTTTACGCACTTCCTGAATGATGCTGCTGTCATCATAGTCACCAAGAAAGTCTCTGGGCATGAAACCAAGAAAAGGTATTTCTTCCATGAGCAAAGGGTCATCCTTATCATTACTTTTTGTTTCATTGAAGGACAGTTCACACGTGGGCATGTTGTTCTGGCTGCTGAGAATAAAAATGCATCATTAGTTCAAAAATCAAGCCATGTTTTGGTTCCAGTACTTTAATGAAGTGGACATTTCATTTCCATTCTCTTCCTTTCACATATATATCAGAGATGTAGAACTGCCGAATGTATTTACTTGAATTTTTTAAATGTCTGCTATAAATCAGTTCAAGAAACCTGAAGAGATTCAGCCTAATTCTGAGCAAAAAATTGCAGGACAACTGCAAAACATGGTAACGATAGTGGGTATGAAAGTGAAAGGGGTCTCTTGGTTCAGTTTAAGCTTCTACTATCACGGCAACCACATCATAGGCTACTTAACAACTATTTTGTCCTGTAATTAGTATTTTAAGAAACAAACTTCTGAAGTGTCCATATTTTTCCCTTAAAAGTGTCAAACATGTTTGGAAAGCTCTATTTAGCTGATTTTACTTATAAATGGAGGTCAGTCCAATAGCTGTAAGATTTTTTTATTTTTGTTCTGAAGGGGAGGTTCTAGTGAGTTGCAAACAGAGGGGAAGTTAGTCTATATGAAAGGAAAGGTCCTCCTTTTACCTATGAAGAATCATCTACCTGCTGGCTGGAGGAGGAAATAGAACTCTAGTTCTGTTTTGATCATTTGGATCGGCATTTGATCAAATGCAGATAGCCTCAACATGATTAGCATACAGGGTTAGTAATGATGGAGGGATGGTACATATCAAGCCAAGTCATTTTTGCAAGACTGCCAGACTGGAATATGCAAATTGAATACTTTTCTGTATATTCATGGGGGGAAAAGTAAACTTTTGTCTTCAGCCAGGTGCCACACACAGCAGTATACTACTATTAGTTTATCCAAACAAGCATTAGAATTGTCTCACTTATTTTTGGATCAACTGACAAAGCATGCAACAGAGAAGACAAATCATCCTACTAATAGTTTAACAGCCATACCCTATTTACTTGCTTCTGTTTGATTTATCCCCATGTGGTTTAAAAAGCCATAACATATATGACAGGTGGGCAGCATGTTTGTGCTTTTTGAGGTCAAAAGGACTGAACTAATTTATCATAGAAGTCAGTGCTGAAATGCATCAAATGTACCTGCTATAACAAAATCAGTGAGCTGTTCTTCAGGTGAGATCATGATTATAAATGTTGGTGTAGAGGAACAAATGTAATAGAAAACTTTTTGCCAAAACCATTGTTTCTACTTCAGGTCTAATTTTATGCTTATATTTAGCTTCTCCCAAGCTGCTTTGGGAGAACTAATATGAAATTACCCCATGCACTGTTGTGTATCTTTAAACAAGTGCTCAATGGCTGAAATGTTTGTCCTTGAATGACAGAAAAGTAAGAGACATTGAGAACTGCTGCAAGTTTAGCCTCAATGTGACTATGGCCTTTTGTTGGTCCTTTTCAGGGAGAACGAGGGGGAGAGGTCTACTCAGTACTGTGCATGCTGTTCTTGCAAGAAAATGCCAGCTGGAGAAAATGAAGGCATCTGTGCTCAGCTAGGCAGTGTACATTGGGAAATAAGGAAAGATGCCTGCCAGTTTTCTGCTGACAGAAATGACTGCTATTAGAACAGACTACAGGCTTCGGGGGGCCCCGGAGGGGGGTGGGGAGCCTCTGGCCCTGGTTGTTTCACCCTTGTCTGACATGATACAGCACTGTCATAATGTCAATCACAGTTTGATTTCTAAATGAGCGAATGCCTCTGACAAGGAGACTGGAGCATACTGTGCAATCAAAGGGGAGTTTTTAAACAATAAAATGTTACTGTTCCAGAAATAACCTTGGTATTTCCTCAGTTGGCAGCCCAGTGCCCACTGATTCATAGTCTACACAATCACCACTAATAACTTCCTGACCAGCTTTGAATTCTAATAGCTGAAGGGAGAATAGAAAAGGCATGACATGTTTTAAGCCAGCCTTGACTGTATCCGAGTCACTACCGAGGAAAGCAGCCGGTAGTCTGCAAAAGGATTCTGGTGCAATCGGCAATATGCACAAACCTATTCATGGATTCGCAGAAGTTTAGGGCTGGAAAGGACCTTGTGATCATCAGGTCCAGACCCCTTGCTCTGGGCAGTCAAAACAACCTGAATGCATAATAGATGGAAAGTCCTACCTCTGAGGTTGGCAAATCAAGCCACTTGCACATGGGCATCGCTCGAGCACTCCGTCTGGTTCCAGTTCCCAGGTGATCAGGTTGAGAAGTCTGTTTGAAGGATCATAACAAGGTTCTCCTGCTGCAGGTAACGGAGTGCACACAGGAAACAGAAGGTCTGCATGCAAAAGTAAGAAGCCTATGAAGATTTTGATCCCAATTATAACTCCTGAGCTCTGTTCAGAAGGCTGACATGAGAGAGCTGGGGCATACACGTGGCTCTCTCTAACCCTTGTGAAAGAGAAATATCCCCATCACCTTCCTTTCCAGTAAATGGGAGCAAAACTTGAAGTAAATCATATTACAGCCTTTAAGTAGCAACCATTCATGTCCTTTTCACCAAAAGGCCAGTTCCAGTGTGCCAAGGCATTGGTAACTGCATTTCTAAAAATGCTTTTACCTGAAAATTTCAAGGTATAGATAGGTAATTTGTTTTTATTCAGAAGTTAAGTAAAACTGAAGCACCAATGAGCTGTGACCTTTTGAAGCTCCCAAAATAAAATAATTGGGAATCCAAAAATGACCATGTATTGACCTTCAGCAAAACATAAGAGTCCAAAAACCTTAATGGATGCTATTGAGACTTTAGTATTGGACCTCTGTGCAGGGATGAATTTCACCTTGGTGAGAAGAATTATTTCCAGGCTCTGCAATGTGGAAAGTCTGTGCTGTACAGCTCTGCCTACAAAAAGCTCTAAGATGAGCGCCCCCCCCCTGTTTCAGGCTCCGTTATGCATACTCTGGAAGTGAGAAGTCATGCGAATAAAACCCAACTCTATGATGGGCAAACAAGACAAAAAGAACTAAGCCCCAGAGAGGGTGCAAGCACTCATTCTCTTTTCACTTGTATAGGCCTGATTACCTTGCAGGCTGTTCTGGTTTGTGTAATCCAGGACAGTTTCTTAATACTGCCCAACAGCAGCTCACGTAGGAGGCTTGGACTTGGGCAAATCACTGGTTCCAATGGTATCCCTTGGGACTCATGAGAGGCAACAGTGATTTTTGGCATAGCTCTGTTGTGTGGTCTTCAAAATGACTGAAGTTACCTTGTTCTATGCCTTGTTTGCTCATGCCATTCTGACTTTTAGTATCTGAAGTATACTTTTGCACCACAGAGTGCCCATGAGGTTGCTTCCCATTCCTAACCTTATAAAGCCTTATCCTAATGCCTTGCACAGAACTACAGACCAACATATAATTCCCCCTTGATTAGCCACCTCGGTTTAGCAGAAGAAGAGGGCATAGATGCTCTTGCGTTGTAAGAAAAATAAAACTGTTTTACCTTTCTGAAAAGCACAGCACATTCCAGGATTGCAATCCTGCTGATTTTCACAAATTGTGCCATTCTCTCCTTTTGAAACAGCTTTCATACATTCGCCCCAGACACAAAGTTGGTCCCCACAGCATTCAACATCTCTTGAGCAATGCTTTGGATAAAAAGGGAAAAATATATATATATATTTAGCGCCATAACAGAACTCATCCCAGGAGCAAACAAGTAACTAAGAATTAACAGAGCATTAGGCCCTGATTCTGTGAACAGCTGCATGCATGTGCTTACCCTTCACACAACTGTTTGAAAAATCAGGGCCTAGGAGAGGCTGCACTGGCAGCACTCAAATCAAGCAGATCTTTTCACTGGTACTTAAATCCTGCTGGGGCCTGGCCACACCCACCCCTCAACTCAGCACTGTGGAAGGGAAGTGTCCCCCTCAAGGAGGCTGAGGGGGGACCTGGTGGCTGCATACAAGCTCATCAGGGGAGATCAACAGCAAATAGGCAGAGCCCTTTTCTCCCCAGCATCACCTGGGGTGACAAGGAACAATGGTCATAAGCTGATGGAGAATAGGTTTAGGTGAGAGATCAGAAGGCAATATTTTACAGTTAGGGTGGCCAAAATCTGGAACCAACTTCCCAGGGAAGTGGTCCTCGCCCCTACCCTGGGCAAATTCAAGAGGAGGTTGGATGCTCACCTGTCTGGGGTCTTGTGAACCCAGAATTCATTCCTGCCTGTGGCAGGGGGTCAGGCTAGATGATCTATTCAGGTCCCTCCTGACCCTAGCTACTATGAAACCATGAAGTGTTCCCCAGCTTCTAGCCTGAGCCACTGCAGGCATGTGCCTGCATTTCCTTAGTCCAGAGGAGATGTCTATACAGTTAACAAACCCGTTCAGAGTAGCCAGGTTAAATTAACCTCTAAAGATTGAATCAATTCAGGCTCAGGCTTTTTGAATGTCTGTCCCTAGCCAATGTGCTTATCTTTAAGCTGTGAGCATTCTTACTGGAGTCAGAAAAAAATGTATTAAATCTATATGCAAATCTTTGCAAGACCATGGTTTCAAAGCAGTTTTTGGGGTGTATGCCAATTATACTAATTAACAGATAAAACTTGTAGACTTTATAATTGGCAAATGTTTTGATCATGCATTTAGTTTCACACCAGCCTAGCAATGAAATAGGAAAGAAAAGATACTTTTGGATATTTAGCTAAAGAGTCATCTGTGAAAACTGCTCTTTACTAGGAACCTCACTGTAGGGAAGCATGCCCTACTTGTCACCACTACAAAATAATCTACTGCAACTACTGTGTAAGGAAATTGATCCTTTAGTGAAAAGACAAAGATCACTACTAAATTCAAAGTTGCCAGATTTGAACACTTGCCACCTATGCAGAAGGAAATTATGTGAACAATTCTGATATATGCACACAGAAAATACATACTGCATCAAGGCAGCAGGAAGCTTGTTGTAACTTGCACTTTGCACATAACAATAACGGTTCTGCAAGGTACCTAACTGGACTCTCACAGCGGTAAACAGAAGTCAGATTGGGCTCCAACACACCAGAGAACAGAATCTTTTCTACTTAAATGGAAGAACAGGAAGAGAAAGGAAAACAATGGGCATTTATGCACATACTTTTTTGCACTGCAACGCACTGGAGATCCAGTGTGTCAGAGCAGACTCAATATAAAACTGTCTCACGTGCAGTTGTATAAGTGGCAAAACATGGTTTGGAACTAAAACACCTCCGATGCATTTTAGTTCAAAAGCACACCGCCACCATTTTCTCCGCGCTGACGCGCATTTTGCCATTTATACAAATGCATGTGCCACAGCACCCAGCGCTACAGTGAAAGCATGTGTACAAATGCCCAATAATTCTACAGATAGATGCTCCACATAGATAGCTGGACCATAATAGCTTTGGTTTATTGACCTTAGAAACCGTCACAGCACAACTGACCGCTCTTAGAGACCAAACAATATTCCGTACTTACTGTATGTTGGGCTTTACAAGGCTGACACTTATACTCAAAACTGGAGAATTGGCAATATTTTCCTGTCTCACAGTCTTCATCAATGATGCACTCCTGGAGGAAAAAAAAAATTAAGATGTTTGACTTGCCATGACCAATTAATAGAAATCAGCAATTCCTGGTGTTGTATATGAAGAATTTAAGGAAACCTCTAAAATCTTCCATTTCTTCTACTTAGGCACTAGGAGTTGCATGAGCTAACTGGCACCATCCACTTCAGCTGGCTGCAGTTCCTAACAGAGTAGCACTGTGGTACACTGGCATGTATTTATTGTTGCAAGCTCTACTAAATTAGTTCTTCTCCTTCAAGGATGGTTACCTTGTTGTAAGAATATTAGAACAATGTTCTTGTTGTAAGAATGTATTACTGAAGCAAGTAAAATTCATTTACTTCTTTTTCTGCTTCTGAGCATCCCAAACAGCAAAACTGGCTTAATACTGGCAAACAGATTTAAGGGCTCATCTGTTGCCTGTTACCTTTGGCAGTGTTTCTAAATGGAAAGGAGAATGGAGGAAGGGAGCCTACAATACAGCAGGTTCTGAAGAGAAATGTTGGTGAAAAACCATTTTGTAGCAGCCCTTTTGCCTCAGACTGCAACACTCACTTTGACTCCAGGTTAGCTAGCTTTATGTTGCTCTCCAATAATTTCTTGTGGCTGGTTATTGCTGCTGGATAATATCTGATTTATGTAAGCATGTGCAGATGGTTATTAAAGGAATGGAGAAGGCTTCTACTAAATTTTTCCCCTGCCTCTTACACCAGGCCACAAATTCTCCCTCCTTCAATACTCTTTTACATTACTGAGACTTCAGCCAAAGCCTCTAGCACTGTATTAGTAGTTCAAAGGTGGAAGAATACATACCTATGCTACAATGTATAATACTACTTCACAAGACTGGATATGCTAAGGTTAACTGCAACCTTTTAACAATAGCATAAACTACAGCTTGTACTGTAGGAAAGAACTGAATATATCTTTCCTGTTGACCCGCTTGGGTTGGGCTTCCTTTCTTTGAGTCATGGGGTTGCTGTGAAAGAACAAGCCTCATGGTTTCTCTACCCCAAATATCATTATAACCTCAAATCCTTGCATACCTATATTTTGTTTTGTTTTTGGGGGGAGGGTGTTATGAATTTTAATCTTTTAATCTTAACTGAGTCTGAATATAGTGAGAGTGTTTTGCTTTGTTCTGGGTATACCTAGGACCAGAGAGTCATACCCAGATTCTCAACTGGTGTGATCCCCATACTGTCTCTCTATAAATAAACCAATTTACACCATCTGATATTCTAGCCTGGAGAATGCAAAGTAATCATATACCATTTTACATGCTTTAGACAAATATACTGTAAATTACACAATTCTCCACAGATGGGAGTTTTTTACTTTACTAGATGGTTTTAATAAATAGCACTAGGTCACTAGTAACTATTTGAAGAAGACTCTAATTTAATTCCTAAAATAAAAAAAAATTAAAGAGCTCATGCATCATGCAGAAATGCACAGATTCTGAAAAGTCCAATGCATCAAAAAGTACCATCTACATATGCAATTTTTAATAGTAACTGACCCCAAGTGGTTCATGACAGTTAACTTTTTAAACATGTAAGCAATCCCACTAACTTCAATGCGACTATTCATTGTACTTAAGCAAGATAAGCATGTACCAAAGCACTCTGAATCAGGGTTTCAAACCATAAATGCTAGAAGCATTGTAACAATGAGAGATGATGGCTGGCGGTATGTGCATGTATGCGTAGGGTGGGGGGCGGTTGTTTTGCTTTTGGTTTTTTCTAGATCTTGAGACTAAAGAGACCTCTGCTATTAATTTATTAATTATCAACCCTTGAGGTTTGAGGTAAACTCAAGGTCAGTAGCCATTAAGAAACTAGCCAGTACAAAACAGGGAGCTGACTTCTCTACCTTGCAAACAACTACACTAGCCATGGTTTACATACCAGCAGAATACTGCCTCTCTGTGTGGCAAAGAGCGCTCACACCCACAAACTGGACAGTGCCCTGAATTCTGCACTACGAACAATAAGTGGCTGCATGGTATACATGGAATGGGAAAACATGTTTATCTTGGCAGGAATCCCCCTCACAACATCAAGAGGTCTACAGTACTGCTTGACCTAGCAATCAAGGTACAACAGGAAGGCCATCCACTATGACATGAATGAAAAATACCCAACGCAGAAACATCTAAGCAGCAGAAAACCCCTACCAGTATGCTCCAGAAACATCATACAGGAAACAGGAGACACTATACTGTCATCATGGCCCCAGAGAAGGTGGGAAGAGCAACGGAATAGCAACCATACCCCACTACACAACTACCATCCACACACCCTCCTGGTTAAACTCCAACATAAGGCTGCTGCATAGGTAAACCCGAATTGACTGCTATCGGGCTACGGAGACTTCAATAAAATCAAACATAAAATGAGGCTTACAAACTCACCATCATGCCATCCCTGTGGCAAAGGAGATCAGACAGCCCAGCATACACTAACTGACTGGCCCCTATATGGTCCACCAGGGGAGCAAAGTCTGAAAGCTTGCAGTAATATTGATGGATCTACTCTTACAGGGTCGGAGGAGTCAACTTTTTCAAGTCATATGCAAGAGAGAATTATCAACATTGCAAGTAAACAGGTATATAAAAATACTTGACTGCTACTAAGATAAATTGTTTCTGAGTAGAGTTTAATTTGGATTCTGAGAGAAGTAGGCAGTCAGATACTGCTTTATAATTTTTACTTTAACTTCTGAATTTTAATTTTGGATTATGGTTTAGGGTTCCGAGATGTCTTTTTCTACAGCTACCCTCACGCTCTTCACAGCAGAGATTCCATTCCATTGTGATATCATCTGAGGATCTACCAATAACAATTCTGCAAGATGCTTTAGTGAAGATCATCCATGATCATTTAGAAGGGTGATTGCTAATTAAGCATGATAGTCCCAATCTTTGCTGCATTTGAGCACTCAGCAATACTGGGCGTCTCTACACGTTCATTAGTGAGTTTTTGCTATTGTGCATTAAATTTAGTACCTCTAATGTGAGGTACTAAATAAATAAGCATTAGGCTGCCCTAATGCACAGTAGTGAAAGTGCACACATTTTTACTGAGCATCAGCATATCAGCATGGTTTTTGATGTGACGCTTTAATGTGCTGTAAAATAGGTTACTACACATTAAAGTGCACGTGTAGATATGCCCACTGTGTGGCAAGCATTGTTGCCCATTCAGCTAGGCATTTTTGCTACTTCAAATGGCTTTTAAAAGTTTCATGAATCATATTGTAGACTCCACACCCAGCTCTTTAAAATCAGCGATTTTCTATCACGCTGGAATTTAATCCATAAAGTATACAATCCTTGGATTATCTAAATGTAAGACTTCTTTGAAGTAACTTCCATAACTGAGTCAGGGCTTCCAGACTTAGCCATGATGCCTTTACAGCTTCATTCTTTTGTTCCAGCATTTTTCATCCAAGTGTGTATGACTGCTTGTTTTTATACTGTGCTTTCATGTGACTGATAGGGTTGAAGTTGAAGTTAAATAGAATGGTTGAGATTTTGTGGCTTCCCCAGTTACCTCCCTTTCACCTGCCAGGATTTTATACAACAGCAGCTAGTCACATTCTGGTCAGTTCTTTCTCTTCAGATGCTTCTGCAAGTGTGTTTGTGGCTAAACCACCAAACAAGCTATTTTGTTTCTTCTACATTCTTTATGAGCTAAGGCATATTAGCCAGACCTCACATAGTCAGTCCTACCACCATCCACTCACAGGAGAAATGTTGTTTTGAGATTTATGGAACATCACTATCTACAGTTTTGAAGTCACACATTTTTATAGCTCCAATTCTCTTTGTATCTTGCCATCTCTATCATCTTATCCTGCAGTAAGAGCCACATTGAGACCTTTTTTTTTTTTTTTTATTTGTTCCTGCATTAAGCCACTTATCCAGATTCCCACTGGACAGGTGATTTATTCTTTTAATTTTATTGATGTTTTTAAATACAATATAAAAAAATCAGAAAACTCTGTATGTAGAAACTCAACTATATCACAAATAAATAACAACAAGAAAAAGGAGATAAAGAGGATAGAAGATAGAAAAAGAAAAGAGAAGTATGCAATAAACAACAATGTAGTTACAAAAAATATCAAGAGAATTCCTTCCAACTTGCACCAAACTTGCTGAAACAGTTAAGTCTGCTAAACATCACTCTCTCCCTAGATGTCAGCTGCACCACCTCATTGTACCAGATTTCAACCTTTGGAGATGTTCTACTTTTCCAATGCAGCAATCTAATCCTGCATGTTACTAATAAGGCCTGCTGTAAGAATTCAATTTGGGAAGGATTCAGTTTGAATTCCTTGGCTATACCCAAGAACATACATATTTGCCAGATATATCAGTGCTGTATATTAAACCATTTTAACTCTGCCTATAAGTTTTTTTCCAAAAATAATTGATAATAGAATATAACCAAAAATATGTTATAACGCATCACATTTCCAACATGCATCTACTAGCAATATATTTGATTTTTAAGTTTGGAGAGAACCCAGTGCAGATGAAAAATTACCTTTTGTTGCATAAGACAAAGTCTAAGATCAATTATTGATGTTCAAATATTGTGAAGTTGTGATTTTCACTGGGATTCTGTAGGTAACTTATAGCTTTCCTTCTGCTTAAAGCAAAAAGTCTGTATTTTCCTGCTACCCTTGCCCACCTTTTTCATGGATGACCTTTTTTCGTTGTTTCTGAACTTGGCACTTTCCTTGCAATGTTACTGTTTGTTTCTTCTGCTGCCCCTGGCCTGCATCTGTACCTCCCTCAAACTTGTTCTCCTCTCCCATCTCCCCTAGCCCCTTCCCCTAACCCCTCTCTCCTAAATACTTTTTTCAGCTGCTCTCTCATGTGGACAGGCCTTGTGTGGAGAGGCATCCAGCTTCTTCAGTGAGTGCCACAACATGAAGCTGCCACAACCGAGCGTGTGGCCAGTTAAACCTTCAGCAGATGGCCATTCAAAC